GAAATAAAATTGACCACATTAGCCCAACCGTTCATTCTGAATGGAGGGCTAAGATTGCCCTAATCACAATGTCACGTCTCTACACTATTTTATTTGTAATTTTTTTTCTATAAACTATTTTGACATCGAAATTTGGACGTCCATTTCTCTATTAAACTCTCACTAGCGAAAAATATATAACAAATATTTTCAATACAATAAAATGGCCAAAATACTGCTGAAAGTTTCAAAGGGTATTTTAGTTATTATATTTTATCGAATTTTTTTATTTATTTTTTATATGTGCACCCAAATGAGAAGATAGCACGTACCAAATTCATATTCATACAATTTGTATAAAAAAAATAAAAAATAAAATACTTTGAAATGTCCGATCTAAAATCAAACGGTGAGTGGTGATCAAAATTGGATGGCTAGATGATAAAGCGTGGATAGAACATATATGCTGTAGAGAAAGCGTAGAAACCTTTCCCATGCAGAATAAGACTTTTTTATATCCCAAGAGATGCATCTTGCGGTTCGGTCTTTTATTCAAGGGGAGCAAGCATACTATGTGCTCCCGCGGGATCGCAAATCAGCGTTCTAGAAGGAAGCCCCTGCGCACAACGCTGCAAAAGTTGGAAACCTCCTATTCTCTCTCAAAATCTTCCGTCCTTTTTCTCTCTCAACGTAATAAATTATAAGAAATAGGAAACTAATAAATCGCGTATTACGGCAGAGGACGCTTTAGCCGAAATAAACATTTGTTATAATAATAGCTGCAGGAGAGGCCGGATCATACTAAAGACGATATGACGTCAAGTCAATAAATAATGGCGTTCTCCTCTCATAATCTTAAGCGTCCTTTTTTTTCAAACCTTCTTACTCTATCATCTTCTTCTGATTCTTTCGCAGTGGGGAGAAGAAAGAGGAAGGCACCACGCATCCCCACCCACCTACCTCGCGTAATTTGCAGGCAGACTTTGCGAAAGAAGAAGAAGAAGAAATAGTAAAATACTAAACCTATGTTGAATTTGAATAGTTTTTCCTTTTGTGTGGCTTCCATTATATGGGCATCCCTTCACTGGTGGGATGGTGATGCTGCAGCCTGAACTGGCTTTGGGCTTCCTGGGTTAGGGTTAAGGGGTTTGAAGCCCTTTCAATTTGAGAGAGAGAGAGAGATGGGGGCTTGTGCTTCGAAGGAGAGATCGTGTGTTGGGCATCGAAGAAGGAAGAAGATCGTGAGGACAAGACTCTCTTTGAAGATCGGCCAGGATCACAGGGATTTAGTAGATAAGAGTGATGGCTCTGGTTCTTTGGCCGTTGCTCTTCCAAATCATGGTGAGTTCAAAAATTGTCTTCTCGTTGTGATGAGAGATCTCTCTTTATCTGCCTTTTCAGTGAATTTTGATCATGTTTCTCTTGATCTTTTGCATATGGGTTTTTGATCTGGATATACGATGACTTTGTCAATGCTTTGTTTCAATTATGAGGAAATCATCAAGTTGGAGATTGTATTTCTTTTTTTTGACAATGAGATTGTATATTTTTATGACAATGTAACTTGGGTTACCTGATGCCGCTGTTTTCATTTATTTCAAATTTTAAAATTTTTTCCTGTTGTTCATCATATGGAAGTCATGCAATGCTAGTTGTTTCTTTGGTGATAAACTGTGAGTACAGCGAAGAGAAGTGTAACTCCCTTAACAAAACATGTAGGATATCAAGCATAGAATCTAAAGGCTAAGAAATTTATTCTTCTCAGATTAACACCTGAATTCCTAGAAATTCCAATAAATGGAAAGCCTTAAGGGGAAGGAAGAGTAGAGAAGGAGGAAAATATCACAAAAACAAAGAGGAATCCACCTCCCCAAATTTTATTAGCTCAAAATTCTTATAATTGATTCTACCTTAAAACCTTTAATAACAAGTATTTAAGTAACTCAGAAACCCTAAAAATCTCTTAAGTATTCCTAGCCATCCATTATTAACTTAAAGCAAAAGAGTAACCCCGCCCTCAATAAAATCATAAATAAGAATTGAAATACAAAATAGAAACCCAAAATAACTTCCCCTAATTACAATATTGTGCCCTTTTGGCCTCCATTGTTCTGCAACACTTCTTTCCCCAGCCATGAACTATTGGTTGTGGCTTGAGCATGGCTGCTTTATTCCCCTTGGTTGAAAGGAACTTGCGTGTGGCTAGTTGTCTTCAACATAGAGGCAGTACAAATCTGGATCTACCCTTTTGAACTCTTGCTTTAAAATCCACAGGCTATTGGAATATGGTCTCCCCTTCCATTTGATTAGATATTAGCGATACAAAGTCTTTCGAGTTTGAAAGCTTTCAGTTTTCAAAACTTGCTTAATTTCTTCTTCGTTATTTCTCGGTTGTGGACGCTCACTTTTTAATGGTTAAGATTGAACCAACCTCATCCATCATCCTCATCATCATAGGCTTTTTTCAATTAATTGGGGTCGGCTACATGAATCGTGGTCTGCCATTCTGCCCTATAAAAGGCCATACCATCAGTGAGACCATAAGTCTCCATATCTTTTTGGACTATTTCAAACCACATCCTTTTGGGCTTACCCCTTGCCCTTTTCAGTTCTTCCACTTGAACTGACTCATACCTCCTAATAGGTGTTGTACTTGGCCGGCGCCAAACATGGCCAGCCCACTTAAGTCTACTCTCTCTCATCTTATCGCCTATTGGTGACACACTTAAATTCTCCCGAATGGACTCATTTCAAATTCTATCCTTTCTTGTCTTCTCACTCATCCATCTCAACATTCTCATCTCCGCTACACTCATTCTATGGGTATATTGTTTTTTGTCCACCCAACATTCCGCCCAATAGAGCAAAGCTGGTTTCACAGTTGTCCTATAGAACTTGCCCTTCAGCTTCATTGGTATGCGGCGATCACATAAAATTCCAGTTGTATGTCTCCACTTCGCCCACCCAGCCCTAATTCTGTGTGTGATATCTTCTTCAGTCTTTCCATTTTCTTGGATTGTTGATCTAAGATATCGAAAGTACGATATTTTTTGTACCTTTTGGCCATCAATCTTAACTACTTCCTTGTCTCTACTCTTATTATTACTAAACTTGCATTCCATATACTTTTACTCCAACTAATCTTAAAACCTTTGGATTCTAAGGCATCCCTCTAAAGTTCTAACTTTGTGTTGACGGCGTTTCGGGTCTCATCGATCAAAACTATGTCATCTGCGAGCAACATGTACCACAGTATCTCATCCTGTAGGTGCTCAGTTAAGTCGTCCATAATTAAGACAGAGAGGTATAGGCTCAATGCTGACCTTTGATGTAGACCTATTGTCACTGAAAACTTATTCGTCTCTCCACTTATTGTTTGTACACTAGTTAGCGCTCCATCGTACATATCTCTCACTAAGTCGATGTAGTGTTTGGAGACTCTTTTCTTTTTCAACACCCGCCAAATCAACTCTCGAGCAGTGTTTTAAAATGCGGTCGCATCGCCGCATATGTGGCCGCATCAGGCGTTATGTGCCACCTAGCGCATCGCACTTTCCTGCATATGTAGTTTGGAGAGATGCGCCAGCATCAGAGCCGTATCCCTCCGCATTAGAGCCGCATCCCGCATGGACCGCATCAGGCCACATAATCTGTCTGCCATGTTTTTCAAAACTGTACCCCTCAAGCAGGGGCAATAAGGTCATTTTGACCTTTGAAAATGGGGGGAAGGGTTTGGGGGATATTAAACCTTCTAAACCGCATTTTTCAGCCACATCCATAACTTTTCCTAGGTCGATTGAATCAAGAAAAATTCTGGGCAGAAATTTTATTTGTTGAAGTTCTTCAATTTGTAATACAAGATACTACAAACTAAAAGTCCATGAAGATTAAACAAAGAACTTTACCCAGTACTTTTAAAATAAAATTTATAACTTTAAAGAGTTTCATGGACTAATACAGTAAAGTTACAAATTAATGAGTTTATAAAATTTGTTGATCTTCATAAATGCTCTGATATCGTAAAGTTACAACATTTTTATAAATTTATAAAAGTTTACATATCGAGTCGAAGAACTTCATGGACTTCATGGACTATTTTCAAGATTAAAGTGTTTATAAAATTTGTAACTTTAAAGTTTTTGATTGCAGATTTGTGCTTATGGTTGTTGCTTTTTGAATGTTTTCTGAAGCTAGTTTCAAGTTTCTAGTTTCTATCAGGGGATAGTGGATACAAAATCTTCGACAGCTAATACTTTTGGAGTTAATGAATAATTTAAATACTTACTATCACATATATCACCTCCATATTTTTTTATGCATTAACCTATTTTTTTAGAATTTTTATAATCGCATCGCCGCGATGCACCCGCATCCGGACCACATCGAGCTGCATCACCACATTGGCCCCCCCAATGCTTTTGGCCGCATCACCATTGCTCAATTAATTTCACTTTTTATTTCTAATTTTTATTTAAAAATTATATGAATTTGAAATTTGGGGTTTTAGCTTTATTTTTATAAGCATAATTAAGCAAAAATAATAAATGTTTTTTGAATAAATTGTTTGATCAAAATAAAGTTTGGGGTATTTTGCTCATTTTTATTTAAAATATTTGTTAGTTATTTTTACTTAGTTTTCTTTATAAAAATAAACCTACACCCCAAAATTTAATTAAATATTTTATTTAAATAAAAAATTAGTTTTTGGCCATTAGATATGGCATTGTGAAATCTCAACCAGTGGAAGGACTGGAAGGGTGCACACCCTTACACCTGTCTACATGATATGGTCAGGATGTGGACGGGATGCTTTTCCTCTCGGTAATTTCTGAATCATATCAACAACTACTTCTACTTGGAGACGTAGTGGTTCTCCATGTAATTCAAATAAATCAGCAACATTAAATATTGGGAGATATCCAATTTCATTAGTAAGTCCTCCTCATATGCATTATTCTCATATTTCTTCAAAATTCGGTAGGGAACCACCTTCTTGGACTTGTGCTAATTGTAAGTCCCCAATGGAAAATGTCTCATCTCACAATTACACTATTACTAAATCACCCTACTTGAAAATCTTCTCTCTTTGATGCTCATTTGATGCTTCTCGATACTCTGCATTACTTTCTTCAATTTTCTTCTTGATTTGAGTTAGCAAGTATTGAACATTCTCAACAAAAGCATTGACATCATCACTTCCCTTGCCTTACACAGGTAATGGTGCTAGGTAAGGCACGCGATTACTAGATTTTTTCAAGGAGTTTGAAGTTGAATTAGATGCGTCAAATGTTGGCATAGGGACAGATCTTAGTCAAGAGGGGCGACCAGTGGATTTTTTTAGTGAGAAGTTGAATGAAGCACGTAAGACTTATTCAATCTATGACCTTGAGGTTTATGCAATAGTGCAAATTATTGGAGACACTGCTTGATCCATAAGGAGTTTATTTTGTGCTTCAATCATGCGTCACTTTGGTACTTGAATTCCCAAAAGAAGTTAAATTCACGTCATGCTAAGTGGGTAGCTACCCTTCAAGAATACACCAGCGCAAGGCCAAAACCCAAAAAACGGTAGCTAATGCTTTAAGTAGGCTTTGCGTGGAACTTTGTCTATTGAAGTCTTGAGGTTTGAAATGATAAAAGATCAATATATGGATGACTCAATTTTCAGCAAGGTTCTAGAAAGATGTACTAATGTGTGAGACCCCATGGGTAAGTATTTAATGTATGATGGCTATTTAGTTAAAGGTGTATGGTTATGTATACATAAACGCTCTCCAAGGGAAAAGATAATTATGGAGCTTCATGATGGAGGCTTAGGTGGGCACTTTGGAAGATACAAAACCATGGCTATGATAGAAGAAAAATAGTTTTGGCCACGCATGTGAAGGGATGTTGCCAGATTTGTGTTCTGATGTCAAATTTGCTAAGTATCTAAATGTCACACAAAATTCTGGTCGTTATACTCCCCTTCCTGTTCTAGCTGCTTCATGAGCTGCTATCTCTATGGAATTTGTACTTGGACTCCCGTGATCTAGTTTCCAAAACAAGATGTTTTATTTAGGAAAACTATGAATGCTACACTCATTACCAATATCTTTTTCATATATATCATGAGGTTACATGGTGTCCTCAAGTCATTACTTCTGATCGGGTTGCAAAGTTCTTTCATAATTTTTGGCAGACTTTGTGGAAGCACTTGAGAACCACGCTTCAATTTCTAGCACTTGCGACCCTCAAATAGATGGGCAAAATGAAGTGGTGAATAAGAGCCTTGGTAACCTCTTGAGGAGTATTGTTGGTGATAACATATCTGAGTATGATCTTACTTTACTCCATGCTGAATTTTCTTACAATAGTTCGGTGAGTGGGTCTACGGGAAGATCACCATTTGAGATTGTTAATGGGAGGAATCCTAATCATGTGTAGGGGTGGCAATCAGGTCGGGTCCGGGTCCATGTGGAACTTGTTGGGTCGGGTCCGGGTCGATCTCGGATTCGACCCGATTTGTTGTCACCCCTAATCATGTGCTTGACCTAGTGCCATTGCTAGTATAAGACAAGGCAAGTGATGCTGCCAGTGCTTTTGCTAAGAATGTTTGAGATTTGCCAGCTTGACTCAAGAAGAAAATAATGCAAAGTGTTGAGAAACTTCAAATGAGTATCGAAGAGAGAAGATTTTCAAGGAGGGTGACTTAATAATGGCGTACTTGCGAATCGAGAGGTTTCAATTTGGGATCTACAATAACTCAAGTCTAAGAAGGTAGGCCCTTATTGAGTTTCAAATAAATATGGGAATAACGCATATGAAGTGGAATTACCAAATTCATTGGATATCTCTACGATATTTAATGTTGTTGATATATTTGACTTTCATGATGACCCTCTAGAAGCGCAAGAAGAAGTAGTTATGGATATGATGAAGCCATTACCGATAAAAGTAAGGTGCACCTCAAAAACCCACTGGAAAAGGTTGCGCCGATGCTGGAAAACCCTCCAAGTGATGTATTACTATGAAGAGAGAAGGATTTCATGCCCTAAAAATAGTGTACCTTGTAACATATGATCTAAACTGTCTATATTCAAGATTTTTGATGTTTATAGATTTGCTTGATCCCCACCATTTTTAGATCTTTAAGTTTCATAATTATAGTTGGAAATAGAGTTTTAGGCCATCATAAGGGTTTCCTGCATTGGAATTGCATCTTCTATTAGGGTTTGGAGGTGCACTTTATTTTGATTGTTTTAGGTTGATGCCTTACGTAAACCGCATCATACACACACACACATATATATGCATATATATATATATATATATATATTATGTATGTATTTAGTCCTTTGCAATTTCACAATCCAAGCATTATTTGCTATGAAAAATGGATATTCGACTATATATTTTTCTCATATCCACTGGGGCAAATTGCATTTTGGACTGATAGTGCAGTTGACTTCCTACTGATTTAGTGGTGAGTTCTCTTGATGGCCCATCCTTAAAAACTTGTTTTCAATTGGTAAAGGAGGGAGACTTGTTTTCAATTAATAAAGGAGGGAGGTTTCCCACTCTGACTCAATTGATGGTGCTGATAACTGTGGGAGTTGTCCCGGAAAATGATGCCATCTATAATACTATAGATTTATGAGAGCTGCAAATTTCAAAGTTGATACTTGACTAAATTGACCATTTTGATGAAAATTGATCTTCATAGATTTAACATGCTATGAGAGAACTTGGCCTTGCTTCCCTATCAGTTACCTGACATTTGATAACTGTTGGATGCTGTTTCATATATCCCTGCATATTGAGGTTGATAGAATATACTTTGACATTGTCTCAAATTGATTTAGGAGCAAAGTTCATGCGGAATGCCTTGTTTTGCATGTGAAGAATTCTTTCCTTTTATCAAATTACACCAAACATTGTTGAAATTCCTAACATAAAGTCACAAGTATTTGTATCTTAAGATATCATTTTTTGTAGAGTTTATATGTAATAAATGTGAGATATGTTAACATGCTCGATACTTATGAGCAATGGTGACCTGTTAATGTGCTGTTTTTATTCCCGTATGCTTTTATAATACTTTTAGGACCATTCTCATGTTTGATTTAGTCCAGTTTCTGAAGGATCTATACAGATTTGGGGATGGGTGTTCCTTTACTGCAGTTGCATGATTCACAAGTGTGGACCTGTTCTCATTTGCAAATAATTGTTGGAATAGGTCCACAATGTCCTATGCCCCATGCCATTAGTTTGTTTTATGGTTCATTACTGTAATTTCTTGATCCACAAGTGGGAACCCCTTAATATGTACAAGTATCTGTTGGAATCGGTCTCACCACGTCTCTATTCTCCTCTAGGTTATTTTTGTGGCTATCCAGTTAGATATGAATGAGTTCTGTCCATTTCATATTGTCTTGTGTATGGACCAGGTATGAATTGTTTGTATATCTCACTTATGTGGGAGGTTTTGTCATAAATTTATTAAAGTTGGTATGTTTTTGATTTTCTTACTCCATAATATACACTTGTGCTATTTTTTAGACTAATTTCCTCTCAGATACTCTTTCTTCCTAACTTTGCTAAAGGTAGGTATCATCATTCAAATTTTTTGTGAATGATAGGGTGATGTATTTTATGGCATCATGATTCTTAAGTTTATCTTAAACTGAACTTGTAGACTATTGGTTTCCCACTTAATGTGCTTTATATTTCATTTCGTCTATAGGGAGTGTTGAAGAGGCTTGGTTTGACTGTGTCACAGTGTTAGAATCTGACTGTGATGATGATTTTCTGAGTGTTCAAGGAGGTATGTTGCCTGAGTTGCATGTGTTCTCTTGGGGCTCATGAGGCTCAATTAACATAAAACACTGGCTCATCATAGTGTCCATTGGCTTTCTCATTCTCTGTGAGCAAGTATTTCCTCGGATGAACTCTCCGTCCATTATTTGTGCAGATTTTTCATCTTCACAGAGCCTCGAAAAAACACCAAGGTTCAGTATTTCCTCTGTGGAAGACCTTATGTTAAACCAAGAAAATCTGATTGGAAATGCGTCAGCAGTGTCTACTGCTTACAAGGGAACAAAACAAGCTCCATCGGCAAATTCATCGTGTGGTGATGCTACGTTCCAGTCCATGGTTCCTGGCAGTGGTGATGTTGTGCATTCTAAATCTGATGGTCTTGGATCTGATATTAGGCCTTCAGAAATTCATGGTGAAAACCCTACACAATCAGTCGATGAAACTACAGCGAGGGAGGATGGTAAAGCATTAGACAACTGTGGGATGCTGTCAAACAAGTCCTGCTTGCCTTGTCTAATTCCAATAGATGCCACTGAAAAGAGGAGGACTCTGAGTCCTGGCCCACCTGCTTCAAGGAAAAGAGGAGCATTGAAACTTTCTTTTAAATGGAAGTCAATGGAGGGACATACTAGTCCCAGGCTATGTGAGTATCATTTCTTCTATTGGATTATTTGGTTGTCAGTAGTTCTTCCTTCGTACCTATTTTGTTGTTATAACTTCTTTCATGTTTTTGTGGTTATTTGAATGTTATCATTTATTTAATCTTGTTAGATGTTATCGTCAAGTTAATATTGTTAACTAAAAAAAGTTTAAATAAATGCAATAATAGTTGTACGGCATTTGAGGGAAGTATCAATTCCCACTAGGTTCAGGATTTTAGTACTTATGCGAAAGCGGTAAGTCTTTTTTCTAGTTTTGTTATATTAGTGTCATAACTTCTTTTAGATTATTTGATTGTCATTAGGTCATCCTTTGTACCTATTTTGTTGTTACAACTTCTTTCATGTTTTTGTGGTTATTTGAATGTTGTTATCATGTAATCTTTTTAGATGTTGGTCAAGTTAATATTTTTAACCAAGAATAAGCTTAAATAACTGCAATATTAATTGTACGGCATTTGAGGGAAGTGTCAATTCCCACTAGGTTTAGGATTTTTGTATTTATGTGACAGCTCTGTGTCTTTTTTCTGGGTTTTAACCATTATAGCTGCATCCAAATCATGATGTTGAAACAGGGTGCTTATAGGCATGTGCATACCCACAAGTACACATGCATGAACACACACATGCGTGCACACCAAGTATGCATGTATCAACACCAATGGTTTAAAAAACGGATCGGTGACCTGGATCGGGCTTCCAAAAAACCGATCCGGATCGGCGAATCAGCGATCCAGATCGGGAATCGGGTGAATCGGTCCGAATAAACCTTAAAAATAATCCAAAAAAATGATTAAAATTCATTATAAATATTATTTTTTAGGAATTCAATAAGAAATGAGGGTACTCCATTAAGAATTTTCATG